ATCTAAACTATTAAGCAAAGCCAAAAACATTGTCTACGTTATTTTGCACGATTGTGATGTAAATACATGGTGTAAGACGATATTCCGCATGAGTGTCCACAGTATCTTACAGCAGACAACCTATATGTAAAGGAGATATCAAATATAATTCCTGAACAAACATGTTAGCGATCATAACTATTTTTGGGGATATTTTTTTGGAAATTGTGTTCTCAGTCTTCACTAAAAAATACCCCCTCCCCCAAATAGCCATAGTCTTTTTGGTCAGTACATGGTATATCCAATTACGTGTTTCTCACACTCAAACGTTTCAAACCATGTTTCACAATGTTTAGTGAAGTGTATATCGGTAATTCATAAGTGAACTCTGTTTTTCTTAAAGTTCTAAGTCCTGAAATGCCACTTGAAGATAGTGTGTCATTGCTCACTATGCTCTGTTAAACAGTCGTCCCATGCTTCACAGGCATACACATAGTGACGTCTTATAAGCATCTTGGATATTTTACAGTTTTTATTCCACTATTTTATTTTAGGTTTTAAACACCATTGTTTCTATATACGTGCACGAACGAATATTTTATTGTACAAGTTTGTACAAATATATTGTAATTACGACAAGGACGTGAAGAATTTCAAACATCCTTTAAATGCTAGGATGCTCATAGTACCTATCTATGTCCTCCAAATGACCAACGTGAAATACTAAATCTTATAGAACCATTTCCAGCTCAAACTTGTCTCCTATGTTTATGGTAACTGAGATGATTTCATTTACACCAATGGATGTTTTGTACATAAACTTATTTATATCTGTTATTTCTCAGAAATCCATTCAACTAGAAAACGAAATCTGAGATTGGATGTGAATATAAGTTTCTTTAATTTAAAAAAATAATTGTCACGATTCGTTTTTGAAATTTTGGGAACATTTCCATTAAATTTTACATATGTTACGTAATAGCTTTTCCTTTTCTTTATACCTCAGCTTCATAAAACATACTATCGCCAACGTCATTCATCTTAACTCACATTCCTCTATTATAAGGGCATAAAAATCCATTTAGAAAAATGGAAACCCAACTCTTCAAAAGCAAAACAATAATTTAACACTATTTCTTTTCAATATAATTTCATCAAGAATAATCCTAATCATTATGATGAGTGTTGGGAGTGTTTTCTGAATTAACGGTATTTGTAATAAAACAATTTAACAATCACCTGCAATATACACCGTTTCACAGATTACCGGTACACCTATCTCGATCTGTCGTACAAAGGCTCATCACTACGATCAATCAAGTAATAAAAACAGTATTCGGTAACAACACACGAACAATGATACTGTTACGACAATTAACACCTGAGCGTTAATCACCTCGTCAGGTAAAGGTATGTGTGTTTTACCTGTTATTGTTATATTACATAGCAGTACATGAAAAAAACCGGATGTATCGCAGAAAAGTTATATCCGCCATCTTGAAATACGAACCACAACAGCTAGAACCAGATCACCAGAGAGTGGATTAGGTCAGTAAGGGCGTGGGGGCACTGATGCTTGAATAACAATGTTTTATAGCACTTTATGCTGTACCGTTATTCGAAATTGTTAACAGACCGATATCTTTTTGAAACACAAAACATTACACTTGAGAATTTATTTTGGAAGTATGTTTATACAACATATATATATCACAACTAATTACTTACGATCTCTAAATTTGGAAACAAAAGGACATTATTTTAATGAATAAAAGTTAACTGAATATTAAAATTATATTTAGTCTTCTTATCACGTCGTTTTTTAAAATTGACCTTTATAATATTACTTTACGAGAACTAAAAAAATAAATTTTCTTTTGTTGTTAATCGTGATAATATTCATAAAATAAGCTTTTACATAAAGGAAATAATAATTTAAACTAATGTATATTTATGGAATTTAGGATTGAAAGAATAAATAAGTTGAAATAATTTGCCTTCAATGTTACTACAGCTTATAAAATGGCACTTAAAGATAAAGTATATTTCTGAGACTTTACAGGGAAATAATTAATTTCGGCAGAACGTCACAGGTCTACATGGGAAAGGTTGTAATGCACTAGTAGTTATGACGAGTTTCTGTAGAGACTCTAGGAGGTTAAAAAACTACATTTGACAGAAAATGAAGCTCGCATTCCGGGCCCACGAGTAATAGTAAGCACCTGCTGTACTGAACCTACAGGTATACCCAATATAGATGTGTTGTAATGTGTACCACACGAACTCTTTAATACCAGTTTGGCTATAGTTTTTTGGTACACCCACACGTCTCATTACACTTTTACAGCATCACCTCAGCAGAAATGTATTTTCAAAGTAATTAAACCGAAGTTTGTGCAGAACATTTTCAAACAACGCCAAGCGTCAGTTAAACTTCTCTTTGATTTTGTATTTCAAAATATTCTCATTAATCCAAAACCGTTTCTCAAACTTTCACAGCTTTTTCATAAACACGTTGAAAACAAGTTCAAAAGTATTTGGAAACTTTGAAACCCGTAACGGTATTTACACCACTCAATGGCACCTGCCTGTTAATAGCATCAAAGATTCTATTGGTAATTAGCAAACGCTGCAGAGGGACTGCCATACGGAGCAATGTGGTCGTGCATAGGGCCAGGATAGAAGTGATGGAACAGCCGAGCCAACAGTTTGGATTCAAATGCCTGATAAGGAGACAGTGATTCTGATACGGGCCCTTAATACGAATATATATTACAACAAACGGTATACGTTAACTGCGTTGTGTGTAGATGTTGTGATGATGTCTTACACAACTACGGGGATGCTGCTGGAGCTGTGGCTGCACACATGCAGCGTTCCTCGCCCTCTGCAACCAGATAATTCGGCACTGTTGTGTCTAGACCGCATGCTTAAAGCGTGTTTAATGTTTTTGTAATAAATATTATGATGGCACTACTTGAACTGGATCTATGCCTCACCCACAATAATACATGTACGGATTGTCTCCAAATAAAGTCCTCCCCCCGAAATTGTGTACATTCTGATGTCTGATGTAAATATCCAACAGTCGTTATTGTCAGTGCATCCGTACTGAAGTGAAATAATTATCATGCAGTGAATATCGTCCCCTTTTGGTACGTCCATATTCCACAGAAATCAGAACATGTTTCATTCTAAGTTATTTTCATATATATTCACCAAGAACTAAATATAATAAATTTCTAGCACAGCATAATACAAAGTACACAAAGGGTCTTTCTCTAAACATAACAATGAAATCCGCCTGTATTAGATTTATTTATTATTTTCAAATTCTGATCAGTATTTGGCATTGCCATCGACAGTACGACCACATGTTGAAATAATCAGGAACATCTATATGTATTCATTGCGAAAGTAGTCCGACAGCGTTTCTTGACAATGTACAAAACGACAAGTTTTGCCCTTCAAGAATGTCACAAATACAAAAGGCAAAAGAAATCATTTACTCCAGAACTTTCTGGACCAACAGTGAAGTTATTATGCTTATTTTACGTTAACAACAAACATGAACAGTTTTCAATCTATAGGTTTTCTTTTGTCTCATCTTTTTTATTCGAACCCCATGTAATAAAAAATATATATTGTATGACGAATAACCGTGAACAGATATTTTCATGTATGAATTATTATTGTATGGTTTTGTCTGATAAGGGCCGTGAAAGGCATAAGGTCAAGTCTTTAAAAAACATTTAGAAGTGATACACATAAGGAAGAGAATTTATGGATGTCAACTTCTTTAGTATGAGGAACACAACGTTTTGGAGTTTATACTTACTCCTAAAACAGGTGAATAAATGCTATGAAGCAGAGAACACATATTGTACATATATATGTACCTGCTGATCACCTACCAGTGCCAATCAACTGATGGCTTCCCTTGTTAAGTTTCTATCTTTGTTGTCTTATTACTTTTGCTGTTCTTACAGGTATTTATATATGTTTTCTCTTTCATAATATTTATTCACCTGATGAAGTAAGTATGTACTCCGCAACGTTGTGTTCCTCATAATAAAGAAGTTGACATCAATAAATGCTCTTCCTTAAGCATAGGGTTGTAGGAAAATACGTGTTTCAGTCATGTATTCCCCTGTATTGTTCTGCTACTTATTCTTGAAGAAACTACTTGTACATAAATCTGTCTATACATTCTGTGAATGCAGAAATGGTGGATGAATGAGGGCAAGTAGAGCTTACTAAAACATGCATTCAATTATTTACACCATTTGATGATTTAAAAGTTCCCTTCAAGCCCTAACAGCTCAAACATTTTACTGGCTACATTTCGCCTCAGATTTACATGGTTTGAGCTCGTTACTCCAGTAAAACACCATGGGTTAAGGAGTCTCTGGTATATATTTTGCTCTTTTTAAACACTGATATAATATTTTGATGTTTATTAAGATATGTATAAACCTGTGAAATGACTAGAAATAACGTTAGACGTCTTCCAGCCATAAGAATATTAATCATTATTATTCCGAATCTGTGACAAAATCTGGAAAACAAAATTCTTTCACAGACGGGAATATGCCAAGTTTTTAAAAACAGACATATCTGGAGAGCAAAACACTTGCCCCCTTCCTTCGTGAATTTTCATTTTATTGGTCGAGAATCAGCAATTTCTCTGCGGGAGATTGGTAAAATGCCGGACTCATACCCAGCTCTAGGGTCTCTGACAAGTGTCAAAAAGTAAATCTGTGTTGGAATGACATATATCTACTGATCTCATATTTCTTTCTTTATTTGTATCTCCTCTTTCCATCTAGTTCTCCCAAACCATCCCCTGCCCCCCTTCCACCTCCCCCACCGCGGTACCGTAATCTGATCCGGCTCAGGATCTCAGATGAGTGATTGACACCTCTCACAGAAACGGACTAGATTTACATGGCCCTACGAGAGAGCTGATTGGTTGGCGGGAGCTATATACACGTTGGCTGGAACTGTGTGATGATATTCTGTCTTGTGCTATCATTCCTTCACTGCTTGAGAGGTTGTCGTTGTTGTACACTTACGCTCACGTGGAGAAGGCTTATAGGTCAAATTCGTCTTCTTTGCTGAAGAGTTCCACGAGTTTTTCTACCTCAACATAGAAGAGTCACTTTTTGTAGAAGGCTGTCAAAATGGTTCCAGAGCAACAGACCGTTTTGCGACAGGACGGACTTAGTATGGAGACACAGCCCCTTCACAAGGAGTTTAAGGAGTTTCCGGAGAAAGATTATTCTTTGAAAATTGAAACGGAGGAGGACAGCGATGACATGGACGAGAAGCGACTCGGGAGAAAACGTATGTATGATTATGACAATGATTCCCTCCCTAACGCTAAAAAAGCTCGGTCTAAGAAGAGTCCACAAACCCCTGAAGATTTGCAGACTCAGCGGTCTCTTGCCAATGTCCGAGAACGGCAAAGGACACAGTCATTGAATGAAGCGTTTTCGTCTCTCCGGAAGATTATTCCCACCTTACCCTCCGACAAATTGAGTAAAATACAAACATTGAAGCTTGCATCCAGATATATTGACTTTTTGTACCAAGTTTTGAGAAGTGAAGACGTTGATTCAAAGTTAGCAAGTAGCTGCTCATACGTTGCCCACGAAAGACTAAGCTATGCGTTTTCTGTATGGCGGATGGAGGGGGCGTGGTCGGTTAACGGTCATTGAAGACGGACCTTGTGAGTGACCATTAAATCTTCGATCTCTACGAGGGAGGAAAAAAGTAAGATCTCTACAAGATTTGAAGGGAAATCTATTCCAAGGACGGGAGGCTTCAAGAATGACCATTCTTGAAATGACCATGGAGGAACAGACATTTGGAGATTTAACCCTCGAATCCCGATCTCAAATTCATTCCAAGCCCGCCGCGAGCAGAGAGTGTTTTGGAACTTGATACACCGCTAATCTATTGCGACAGAGGACCTCGATGACAGGGCGCTATTGGTAAGAAAGCAAGACACGAAGGCACTGGTCTGAAATGACATTTGTTTATGCGTGACTATCGCATAATGACACAACAGGTGATAATACAGTCACGTGAGCATAATGACATTTAGTTGGCCTTTCTGTAAGATCCCCAGAATGAAGGATGGTTTCCCAAGTGTTGTGTGAATGTGATTGATTGAAACTGACATGAAATGAACACTGAAATCGGCAAGATTTTGGAAGTGATTATTGTGCTAAAGTGTTATGTGACAGCCCGTGAAAATGACTTTATGAAAGTGGTATGACACCTTTCTCATGAAATGTACATAAATATGTACATACAAATATGTTATAATGAGCAACTGGGGAAATATTGGTGAATATCCTCGTCACGATCAGCTGACACCCAAGCACCAGAGACATCTATGTGTTAGTATCAGGAAAACGCTTTCCAGAATGCGAGTTGTTGATAATATTAATTCTGATTTTAGTTGACAATCCTATTGTTTGTGCATTCCAAGTTATTGAGACTTTTGATAAAAATGTGTGCAGTTATTTTGTGTTTTGTCTTATTTTAGTTAAGCTGTGTTTGACGGTTTGCATATACGAACTGGTTAGGGACAAGTAACACTTGTTGCTTCATGGAATTCATTTGGTCATAGGTCTTCTAACAAGAAACGACATACACATGCTGTGTCAGATACCCGTCGGGATAATCAGGCTGAGAAATTGTCAATTTGTACCACAGAGAATCGGTTTATTTTAAGATGTTTAAAAAAAATAATAAATATATGAGAACCATTTTCCTTTATCATAAATTCTTAACACTTTGATTATGTTCTCTTCTACCAGAAAATTCCAGAAACCAGTTTCAGAACAGATGATAAAGAAACATTTTATAAATATATGTTAGAACTAGGGGACAAGTTTGAAACCACATGGAATCTGTTAAATATTTCTATAGGAAAACTCAAAATAGTGGTATCAGTATTAACTGTGCAAACAGTATTCCTGAGTCAACACAAACGTCCATTAGTTGTAATACTACATCATTGCAATGCAATATCTGTGATTGGTTGCGATCCTGTATCACAACACATGGAGAACCTGTGATTGGATTCTAAATACTGTACCATCACACGTTTAGTATCCATGATTGGTCCTAATCCTTATCACCACACATACACTATCTGTGATTGGTTGTAATCGAGTGTCACTACACATACAATATCTGTGATTGGTTCTAATCGAGTGTCACTACACAAACAATATCTGTGATTAGTTCTAATCGAGTGTCACTACACATACAATATCTGTGATTGGTTCTAATCGAGTGTCACAACACATACAATATCTGTGATTGGTTCTAATCGAATGTCACTACACATACAATATCTGTAAATGTATAATCACAGAATGAGTTATAGTGATTCATAAACACATTCTCATGATGTGGTCGGAATAGTAAATCGACTTTGCTTTTAGCAGAGACTTCTATTTAATATGGAAATAAGTTCTTTCGCTTTTTTTTATATATTGAATAAAGAGTTTTTACGCAAACACACACACACACACACACACACACACACACACACACACACACACACACACACACACACACACACACACACACACACACACACACACACACACACACACACACACACACACACACACACACACACACACACACATTTTATTTAAATATTGAAAAACGAGTTTTTACACACACACACACACACACACACTCATTTTATTTAAATATTGAATAACGAGTTTTTACACACAAACAAACACACACACACACAAACACTCATTTTCAGTGATCCATTCATATAATTTCCATCACTATTTTGTATTTAAGGCCAAATGGAATCTGTTTCGCCAGATAATCGAGACTGAGCGCTAACGTTATATATACTTTATGGTAATGGTTAGGGTTATCTCAGATTTGTCAAATGTAGAGGAATGACAATTGAATTCTTGACATAGCAGAAATATAGGGAGGGTGTTTTGAGGAGGATTGCTGCTTGAGGTTGGTGGATGAAGGTCAGGTGGCCGGTTAGTGCGTGGACACGCTATTTATTTGTAGGACAAGCATTTTAATTTAGGACACGACGTCTGTAGGACATGGTTTTAAATATGATATATTTCGTAAGGTAGGATATGCAAGTTCATTGTACTGCTTGTGGTTTTAGAAAATATTGTGTATATAGAAAACTTATATTTGATCATAAACGTGATTGTTAGAGATGAGGTTTGCACTACTACCACGCGAGGCAGGAACCCTGGTATTGAAGCACCAGGGAACAGGTAGGGCCATTATAGAAGGAAATCATGCAAGACAAAGAGGTTGTCTACGAGTCCAGATGCTCATGTATTATTGTTTAAAGTCGTGTTGATGAGAGCTGTGAGTCGTAGAATCAGTCGATGGGTCTAGAGTAGGGGAGAGGGAGGGGGAGAGAGGGGAGGGGGAGAGGGGAGGGGGAGGGAGGAGGACAACTAAGTTATCTGATCCGAACGCACGCTGATAAAGAAATTAAGCGACTATGACACAGAAACAGTGAACATTACTCGAACAATGTTAGCGCATTTAGTTATTAGGTTTTGATAAGTCGTTAGCGTCACGGTTCATGAAGGGTAAATATTTGTACAGCTTTAGACATAGAGACTGGTCTATTTATGAGAAAAGAAAAACAAGGTCGTTTAGAAATAATCTTGGTTTTGTCACGTTGGTGGTAATTTTAAATTCATATTGAGGGACATTTTGTTAAAAATTAGGCAGATTGATATGGGTTTTACAGAGAACATGGCCATTGTGATACACGAGGCGTATTATTCGTCTGAATGCAAAGGTGAAAATGATAGCTTCCCTTTCTCCATGCGTTATACAACAATACTGTGGGATGTTGTTATCACAGTGGGGGCTCGGAAATTAACTCTGTGTTTCAAATATATTTTTACTTTTGAGTAAAAAATAAAGGAATTAATAAACAAAAAAATGACATCACTACCCCAGTTTTAACACACAGAGGGAATTAGTTTCTCGTGAATAACATGATTTGTTTCTAGATTTAGCCGTCAAAGTCATCAAACCCGTTTTCCCCACAAAGGATATGCAGCACAGTCTGAAAGACACGAATTCAAAAATATAATAATAATAATAATAATACCGACTACTACTACTACTACTACTACTACTACTACTACTACTACTACTACTACTACTACTACTACTACTACTACTAACGAATTTAATGAGACTGTCCATCACATTTTCAGTGGATGCCCAGCTTTGGCACATACACAGTATCTCAAGCGACATGATGGAGTGTTTCGATCATTTTATTACCGTCTTCGCCATGCTTGTGGTTTTGACACAGAGGTCAATCCAGGGTTCGACCCAGAATATGTAGATAATGAAAAGAAAAGATTAATAATAAAACTAAATATAATAGCATTGCAAATCTTTTTAATTGTTATTTTTTAATTCTGTTATGATTCAACTTTGAATTAATTCAGTTAGATATTACAGTTAATTATGTTTTATGATATGCAATCTGGCACTGGTAAAGTACATAGATAATATTTATGGTGATGATTGTTTCGTTTTATCTTTTATCCACCTGGTGTAATAATTACTGGTCACGTGATACCACGATATTAGTTTTATTCAGGGTTGAAGTCACCTAATAATGATATGTACCAAGTTACCTTAACTATGAAATTATCGGAGGCATGACGCTGAAGACGGCATCGTGTCAATACGGGTCATAAATTATCACAAGATATGAGAAGATGTCATCTGGGGATGATTGATATAGCACAGGTGATATGTTTATGTCCAATGAGCGCACATTTCATTAAGTAATGTTGCCTTTTTATTTTCCTTGAAATGTCTGTAATTTCATTCTACGAGGTTCTGTGGTATCCAAGGTCACGGATTTTGGTGCGTTGAATGGATTTATTTTAGAATTCTACACGATGTTAATCACACAGTGACTGAACGATCCTTTGAGACATGGGATTATGCCCCTTTGCTGATGCACTGGTTGTCTGTTTGATCTGTTTTTGGATTGCCTGTTAATTTGAACCCTTCAAGGTATACTGTATATTTGTTAGATTCAAGGTTTGAAAAAACACCAATGATTCACTTGTGACAATCAAACGCAGGGTTATATCTTGTGAATTTATATTTGAAACGGTCCTTGGTTGCTCTTGTGTAGGCTCGAGTCCAACGTTTACACAAACCTTTTTACAGTCGCCCAGTTCCCCTTTGACAACGGCAACGTTGGAAAGCTAAACCTTGGTTTATTTGTGTGTTGATGATTCTAAAGAAGTGAATGATTGAATATAGTTTTACGGTTGTATCCATATGGGGAAGTGAGATGTGCAAGCTTACATCACTTTGATCTGACAGAGAGTGAGATGTGCAAGCTTACATAAGTTTGATCTGATAGACAGTGAGATGTGCAAGCTTACATCACTTTGATCTGATAGACAGTGAGATGTGCATGCTTACATCACTTTGATCTGATAGACAGTGAGATGTGCAGGCTTACATCACTTTGATCTGATAGACAGTGAGATGTGCGAGCTTACATCACTTTGATCTGATAGACAGTGAGATGTTGAAGCTTACATCATTTTGATCTGATAGACAGTAGGATGTGAAAGCTTCCATCACTTTGGTCTGATAGACAGTGGGATGTGAAAGCTTCCATCAGTTTGACAGTGAGACGTGCAGCTTGTATAAGTCTGATCTGATAGACAGTGAGATGTGCAAGCTTACATCACTTTGATCTGATAGACAGTAGGATGTGCAGGCTTACATCACTTTGATCTGTTAGACAGTAGGATGTGAAAGCTTCCATCACTTGGGTCTGATAGACAGTAGGATGTGAAAGCTTCCATCAGTTTGACAGTGAGACGTGCAGCTTGTATAAGTCTGATCTGATAGACAGTGAGATGTGCAAGCTTACATCACTTTGATCTGATAGACAGTGAGATGTGCAAGCTTACATCACTTTGATCTGATAGACAGTGAGGTGTGCAAGTTTACATCAGTTTGATCTGATAGACAGTGAGATGTGCATGCTTACATCAGATTGATCTAATAGACAGTGAGATGTGCAAGCTTACATCACTTTGATCTGATAGACAGTGAGATGTGCAAGCTTACACCACTTTGATCTGATAGACAGTGAGATGTGCAAGCTTACATCACTTTGATCTGATAGACAGTGAGATGTGCAGGCTAACATAAGTTTGATCTGATAGACAGTGAGATGTGCAAGCTTACATCACTTTGATCTGATAGACAGTGAGATGTGCAGGCTTACATAAGTTTGATCTGATAGACAGTGAGATGTGCAAGCTTACATCACTTTGATCTGATAGACAGTGAGATGTGCATGCTTATATCACTTTGATCTGATAGACAGTAGGATGTGCATGCTTACATCACTTTGATCTGATAGACAGTGAGATGTGCGAGCTTACATCACTTTGATCTGATAGACAGTGAGATGTTGAAGCTTGCATCACTTTGATCT